AAAGGTATTGCGAGGGAACACAAAGGTATTGCGAGGGAACGCAAAGGTATTGCGAGGGAACACAAAGGTATTGCGAGGGAACACAAAGGTATTGCGAGATAACGCAAAAGTATTGCGAGGAAACACAAAGGTATTGCGAGGGAACGCAAAGATATTACGAGGTAACACAAAGGTATTGCGAGGGAACGTAAAGGTATTGCGAGGTAAAGCAAAAGTATTGCGAGGGAACACAAAGGTATTGCGAGGGAACGCAAAGGTATTGCAAGGGAAAACAAAGGTATTGCGAGGGAACGTAAAGGTTTTGCGAGGTAACACAAATGTATTGCGAGGGAACGCAAAGGTATTGCGAGGGAACACAAAGGTATTGCGAGGGAACACAAAGGTATTGCGAGGGAACGCAAAGGTATTGCGAGGGAACACAAAGGTATTGCGAGGGAACGCAAAGGTATTGCGAGGGAATGCAAAGGTATTGCAAGGACCGCAAAAGTATTTCGTGGGAACGCAGTATTGTGAGGGAACACAAAGGTATTGCGAGGGAACACAAAGGTATTGCGAGGACCGCAAAGGTATTGTGAGGGAACGCAAAGGTATTGCGAGGGAACGCAAAGAAATAAATCCCCCCATTTCCCCTCACGGTCTCCGTAATAAACAAACATTTAAAATGAAAGTATAAATAAAATGTAGAAGCCAGTGTTAAGCTTAAAAACAAACACTTAGTGGTGTGGCATGGGTATCTCAGAATTTATACTAGAATGGTTTAGATACATCACTGGTTCCCAAACTTTTCAACTTTTCACCCACAAGATAACATCAGCAGAAACCTGTGCCCCAATTGATATACTGATATCAAGTCAAATAAACAAGAACATAGTAAACATATTCATTATGCTACTTTCATCAATTTTTAAATATACCAACCAAAATCCTTTGTAATAAGTAAGGTGAGAGATTTTTGTTATTTTTAAATGGAATCGATTCTGAAATCTTTTCAAGACCCCACCGTGATGCTTCGGGACCCACAGTGGGGTCTTGACCTCAACTTTGGGAACCACTGGTGTAGATGGGCAGAAACTAAGTGTATCTCCTTAAAACATAAATCTGTAGCGGTGTGGATGGGACCTGATACTTCACACTGAGTCTTACATATTCTATTTAACCTCAGGACAGCCTGTGTTTTAGCAGTGAGCAGCAGAAGACTGCAAGAAATTTGAACACGTAAATATTTGGTTTGTCTGTTTTGATCAGAGAGGAGTTGACGTTAGAGAGAAATAGAAGTTTTCTTCTTTACTGTGACTTGTTTCGATGTTAAATGGTTTGAGAAAAAGCAATAGGCTGCAGCTAGCAGCCAGCTGAGGTGTTTCGTGTTGACAGAAATCACTGAGTGTTAATAATTTCATCTGATGACCTGCTTTTGACTGTGACATATGCACACATAGGTCCACACGGGCCGCACAGACGGCAAACTGCTGCTGTCGTCCAGAGGACGGGGGAAAACGTGTGTTTGTTCTCTGAAAACACAACCAGCACGAGCAACTGCTCACAGCTGACTGTGTGGCTCGCGCTCCTCCCACTGAGGTGGTTATCTGAGCTGACGGTTCTGAGCGGCGGGGCCCAGCTGGTGCCCGCATCATGTCACCGCTGACAACACCCACCGCTGATCCACTATGATGCGAGCAGGCGGAGAGCGACCGGGCCTGCGGGTGAACACGTTGCACGCTGGTA